AGCCAAACAGAAACCAGAATCATGTCAAATGCAGCTACCTAGATCAAACGAAACGAATCAGCCAAACTGAAATCAACTAGACCGCGCAAATGTCCTCAAGGTAAAGGTGGAGGCGCCACTTCAAACAGGGGATATGCCTTATCAACGCCCTAATAAACACGGAAATAAGACCAGGTGTCCTTCGTTCAGATATTTCTTCAATAAACAGCGTGTATCGACCAGTATGGATGTAAATAAGTTGTGGCAAACGACATACTGGTTGAAAACATTATTTATACCCAATTACGTGAAATTATTTGCTCCCACTGAGTCCGAAGATGAAGAGTGACTTGTGACCAGTGTCAGCATTATCTTGAATTAATAAATGGATTTCTTGACAGCTCGAATAAGAAGCAACCAAACGAGCAGCACTAGAGCAACTTCACAAGTCTGCGATAATGTTGTAAGGATTAGCATATGCATTTAAATCTTTATAACACTTGATAAGTTTAGGTCATTTTTAAATATATGTAATTCAACACTGTATTACTCATTCAAACAGGCATCGCACAGTATGGTTTACTACTGACGTGAGTCGCGTAAGATGCCCAGAGATCTGTGGTGTACTGTGACCAACAGATCCTAGGTACCATGGTTAGCACCATTATAGCAGTGTAGCTGAAAGTTCCCCTTGGGAAGAAGGATTTAGTGGTAATGACGCTAGGAAGCAGGGGGTTATTCAGGATAGAGAGGATCGTTAGGCCTGAGTACTGACACGGCGTTCATTGTATCATATGGTACACTGATAATTTCAAAATTTCTCCTCACTTCTAATACAAAGAGCTTGTTCAGCATTTGTGAACATGAACTGTCTTTGGCACTAACGTGATATACTGCTACCAATTAGACAGATCAATGTAATCTGCAAAATATTTGCCATGACTGTGATGTCAGCTTCATAGATCAGACCAGTAGGTCGGGGTATTCAGATTGAGAATTTAGGCAAATTTAGTATAACTAACCCCACTGAGGTGAATAGTTCGGAAAAGAACCCAGTAGTCAAAATGTATGGAGTGGCACATAGTCACACTATAGGGTAGGACAAGGATTCAGTTCTACGAAGTAATGAGTAGGTGAAAGTAGTGATTGATCGCTGAAGCCTTGATAATCAAATCTATGCCTTACGCGTGAGGAATCAAATCCACTGTCGAGGACATGAAGAATATTACTACCAATGAAATCAAATGATAGGAGTTGGAATTATATAAACGAAGTCAAATAATTGTTGTGCAGATAATTGATATCATTGTGAACAGTAAGTTGAACTCAAAAAGTCATTCAGTAAATAATACTTTTTTCTGTGCGATATATCTAAAAACCAAATTAAAAAGGAAGTGTACCATGTGCAGTTTTCTTCAGGCCTAAATTAAAGATGATTTTCGTTGAGTTACATTCACCAACTCCTTTTGAATTGTTTGGGTTTTTCGCGTACCATGGTATCATTCACTATCAAGTAAGATAAGAATAAAACAGAAGCTTTCCTTCATAAATAAATAATACATATATTTTAGTCGCAAAATAACAAATGATCAGAATCACCCAAACAAAGGTGTTCTGCCATTGAGTAGGTATAGGCTCCCTCGTGGAGATCCTAGAAGGATAGCTCATCAGAGGGCAAGGACCCGGGTGCGCTCCCACTTCTTTTCCCTGCGGGTTTGCCGTCCCTGGAATTCCTTACCGGTAGATGTAGCTATGGCACCATCTGTGGACGCCTTTAAGCGAAGGCTGGACAACCATGCAGCAACACAAGGACTGCATCCAAACGGCCTATCCCCCTAAAATCGCATACACCATTCGAAGGTAGACAATTAAACTGGTCGTTTTACTTCTTTACATTCTTTTCAGTCTTACTCTCCTGACAGCTTTAACTACACCTATTATTATTATTATCATTATTACTGGTATATATATATATATACCGGTTGACTGACTGCTGTTACGTTTCCTTATTCTTTTTCTGTCTGTTAGTCTGAATACCTTCACTAATTATATCTATTATTATTATCTCTTTTCTATTGACGACGATACCGAAGGACCGACTGGTGAAAGGATCAACTCCATTCACAGTAGTAACAGTCTTAACACACCTCATACTACAAACCACATATAATTAATCCCTGCACTACTCCTTTTGGAGTCAACCGAAGCTAAGGCAGTCGAGTGGCAGGACGAGCTACGCAGAAGTTTACAGAAGATCAGGAACCTATACCTCACAATCAAGAGGCGAGCACAAAGAAATCAAATTGGTTTATACTAGCTCGTAAAAACGATATTGGATATTGGCTCAAGAGCGGGTTAACTGATTGAAACGCTTCGTTTTCATTTTCATGTTTTTTCCTATGTAAGTTGTTCTCAGCATAGTGGTAAGATACAGAAAAATCCTTATGTGATTATATAATAAAAATGTCCGTGTCACGTTTTTCACTTTTTCAAATGTATTTGTAATTGGATGACCACATATTCACAGAGGAGGTCAGTGTGTCACTAGTTCCATCCAATATCGTTTTTACGAGCTAGTATAAACCAATTTGATTTCTTTGTGCTCGCCTCTTGATTGTGAGGTATAGGTTCCTGATCTTCTGTAAACTTCTGCGTAACTCGTCCCGCCACTCGACTGTCGTACCTTTGGTTGACTCCAAACGGTTTTTAATGTTCTTCAACCTATTCAATAATTGATTTCAATTATTCGCAAAATTCCGTCATTCTATAACAGTATGACGTGCGTGAAAGTTTCTACGGCAACAAGTATTTCTAAGGGCCACGGTGAGCATACATACCTCCGGGATACATTTCGAATAAAAGAAGCCTCCTGCCTTCCAGAAAGTTTCCATCGCCTCGATTACATACTACGCTGTAGGTTATAAACCCACCGTAAATCAGGCCCACCTTTGATTCCCGGTCAACATACTTCTAAACCTCATGTCTACTAGCAGATAGTAAATCCGGAAAAACGACACAACCCTTATGAAACTTTAGAAGCTCATTTCAGTCGGAATTCAGGGAAGGAAACAAATCATTCATAACTTATAAACATCTGAATTATATGTATAATCCACTCTAATGCGAGAACAGATGTTTTACTACCGACTGTTGTGCACACGAACCTTCATCAATAAACTGGTAGATGAGGAGTGTGGATAACGACGCATTTCAGCAAATGCAAAGCATGACATTCGTTTGTATGTCATACTTTGTCAGTGTCCAGATCAATTATACAGCCATTTGTCGAATGTTGGAAGCGGTCAACATAATAGAGCACTGCTCTCTCTATACTTCAAGGTATATGGAGTTCGAGAATGGTATTTTTGTAAAATCACCGTAAATTTTCCTGGGGATAAATGTGCACTAGTTATATTCAGATTATTTCCCTGGGCTTTCAAAAGAGAGCCTGCCAGTGTCATCACCATAAATAAATATATCTGGTGTGTACTGTTGATAAAACAAAAATTCTCCTGTCATTACATCATTTCTGAAACGTACATGAAGTCAAAAATATTGAAATAGGAAATTCCTGAAAGACACGAAATATAAAATTCACTTTGCGGAAAAACATTACCAAATTCCCAGGTCCGAACAGCCGTCTGACTGGCATATTACTATTTATAGACTTTGTTTTCACAGGGGATCGTAAGAACTTTTTCATATACGAAGTCGAATATAGATTCTAGACAGAGGTGTGACACATATCACCCGCTGGTAAATATGTGTTATAAAACTTGTTGAAGATCGGAATTGTAACCTAGGCTTGAATCCTGCCTATTACTCGTGTTTGTTGTTGCGAAACATAGATATCCTTTTACGATAAAACCACTGGTGTGGGATAAAGCTGGATAGTTAGACCAGAATATAGCATCATTTCATAGATTTTATGACTGCTTATATCAGTCATGTAAGTAAGTGTAGGTTGTGTGTCTGTTGCCTTCGAGGTGTTAAGAGGTAGTGTGACCCAAAATGGTTGGTTAATAGCCCACATATCCACATTTATTATCGTCGAAATCTTTAGCATTCTGACTAACTGTCCCCCTTCATATGCCATACGTCTCTGGTCGTTATGTTATTTCATCTTTTCTGGAAATGTGTAGGCTAATTGGCATTCTTTATTTGGGGATATTTGTCATAATGGGCAAACTTACTTCGCCAGAAAAGGTAAAAGTCTAGATCTTTTTTGTAGGTTTTAATGCTATAAATTATTTGGGTTCATCTGTGTTAAATGTTTCTGTTGTAGAATCGTTATCTATTCTTTCATACTAAGTTTAGCTGTTTAGCCCCTTTATAATATAACTCAGAACTGTTCACACTGTCACATATTCATTCATTGCTTACCATCTTCCAGTTTCCGAACGCCTGTACTAGTGTGCATTCAGTTATCTTCCTTTCACAACCTCGTACCATCATAACCTTTGTATCATATTTTCTGTGCGTTTAATAATGTGGCATCTGGAACGGATACAGACTCACGCAAAGTTCTGCGTTGATTCGTTAGTCATTCAGTCGTGACTGTTGAGCGTATCATAGTAGTATCCATATGCTCTTCAGTTTTTATTTCCCATATGTTGTACGAGACTCACTAGTTTAGAATTAAGACAAATACGATGCATCTTTCCTCGTAATAAATTATGTAGTGTTATATGGATGCCGAAAAATTGGGCGTTTTTAAAAAGGCATGGAGGTAATTACTACTTTTATCAAGAGTCAACGAAGAAATCTTGTGGTTTTGCTGTTGTAACTTTGTTTCCAAAGTTCTCGTCAATCACTTTCATACCCTGTTTGGTGCATTTGAAACTAGAAGTAATGTTACATTTATGTTGTGTAGCACATACAAATATTTACAGTCTCCACTTTTTAGGTAGCTTCTGCTTACTTTCTTTGATTGGGTCTTAGATATCAAACAAGTTAAAACTTCTGTTGTTCATACCATTCCCTTGACAACTAGTTTGGTTTTCACTTTTTGTGAATTAGTATATCATAACAATATTTTAGTGGCATTTATGTATTCATTCTATTTGTTACATTGTTTTCTTCTATTTCTATTGAAATATCACTACACCTATGGGTATCGTATGTTTTCGTTATCAATTCTACCAGATTGTGTTTGGATAAACAATACAATGAACTACCATCTTACTAGTTTACCTAACATTTTGCACTAGTTAATTCGTTAAACAAAATGCACTGTAGTTAGGATACTCCTAATTTTGGTCAATTTGCAGTATATTTTATATTTTAATATTTTAAAGGAGTAGTTTTTCTGTGCTAGGCGTTCGTCTAGACTAAGGTGTTTGGCTTTTTTTTAACCAATATTTAAACACGGTTCAATGAAAGTTGTACCCGATTTTGGTTTTCATTTTCATCTTGTTGTTAATAGATTATGAACATTTTGTAAATAATGGAGACAGTTGAGAAAGATGTTTTCAGCCTAGACAAATTTGAAACACTCTCTTTAAATGATACACCTAATCCAAATGAAGAAACAAATGAAAATTCTAACTGCTTAGATGAAGAATTTTGCAGTGATCAAGATTTGGATCAGAAAGAGTATTGCCACTTTGCACACTTCATATTTAACTTTTCAGAAGTGAAATCAGATCTGCCTTAGTTCAACAAACCAAAGATTTATACGAACACTATGCTAAAGAGCAGTTCCCCAGAGATCCAGATAAGGTGTGTTCACCTTGGCGGCATAAACATGTTATTTTTCGTTTTTAGCAAAAAGAGTTGATAGCTGAAATGCAAGAGCAATATTTTGATCATTACCTTTCCGAAGTTTACAGGTTTCAAATCATTCATCAACAGCAGCAACTTGAACAGGTGAATTATCATTTAATTCAAGTATTTAATTTCTCTTGACTGGTTATATGTGTAGCCCATACTTTTAATTATATTATTCAAAATAGTTTAACATTAGCACACCCGTAGTTGATACATTTCTTAGCCTCATGAACTAACCTCACACATAGCACTCTAATTTGTCGTTCATTATTGATATTTAACTGAAGTTGAAGACCGTAGAAATTAAAATTTTCATAATTTAAGTAAGTAGTAAAATAATATTGTTAATTTTTTGTGTACACAGTAGGAGAAAATTTTCAAAATCCATCGCAGTTCCTTTTTTGTGTTATATAATTCACTATCATTATTTTCCTCTTGGTTTTCGCATGGAACATAGGACTTCAATAGTAAATCTCCATTTTGTCCCGTTCTCTGCAGTCCCCACAATTAACCATAAGCTGCTTTCATCTCTTCCCTACACGGTCTCCGCCATGTCAGCCTCGTAGCTACACTCAACTTGTTGTTTCCTACTCAAGGATCTGCAGTGTGATGTCATGCAACGGTCTCTTCAGCATGTGTCTGATCTATCTGTATTTTCTTCAAAATATTTGTTGAGCAACAGATTCTGGTCCGGTGATAGCTCAGTTGGTAGGGCGGAGGACCGTAGATTGGTGCAGTGGTCCTTAGGTCTGTGGTTCAAATCCGCCTCGCCGAAGCTCATTGGCTTTTGTGTGGCGGTGGCTCAGCGGTAGGATGCTTGCCAGCCATGCGTGTGACCCGGAGTTCGATTCCCGGCTGGCGCACATCTTCATCTCCCCTAGCCGGTTGTAAGCCTGACTAAGAGGGAAGGTTAGGCATGAGGTTAACAACCCCACCCGTAAAAAACACCACTGCTGCTGAAAATTCAAAGCTCATGTTTGAAGCCCTATGTTCCACTGGAAACGCAAAGGAATAAAATAAAAGTAACAAGATAATACTGCATTAATATAATGCTATATCTCGGGTACTGTAAGTAAGTAAGACTCCATATTAGATAAATATTTAATATAACACAGTGATATATTAGTAATAACTGGATAACGTTTCGAGAACAATTTACTACTTAGAATCACATCATATTTTATCATAGCTGGCTTTATATAGTTTCTTCCCGTTACTTAATGCAATGTTCCATGTATCTGTGACTGTTGTCGCGTGATTTACATCACATAGGATGTGTGTTGACTAGAAAAACGAAGTTACGGTGATTATACTTCCTCATTTTGTTTAACCATATTACTTTTTAATACATAGACACTATCCTATTCTATTGTGTGATTGCATGCATAGCAGTAATCTAAGTAAAATGGCTTAGTATCATGTGTTTGGTGACCTTGAATATTTGGTTACTTCGTATTCTAATTTCATATTTTTTTTTCTCTTGCTCCTACTGTGTATATAATATTTTGATTTGTTTTCCCAATCTATTATGTATGACTTTTAGTTACGTGAAATAAAGTCAGTTGGGAAAAAATCGGATGATACAAATGGTGAATACGAAAGAGGTTAGGTCCTTTTTATAATGTTTTCATATCATTATGTGAGTGTTTTAAAAAATTACTTTTTAGCCTCTTTTAGAGTAGAAGTGTGTTCATTGTAATTATCTCCTTACTGCATAGGTTAATCTCCATTTGTATTTTGGTTACTCTACATTTTTTATCAATGAAATTGTCTGTTTTGTTATAGGTTTAAAAGTGAAACCAAAGTTCTTTTATCCTCTAAAACTTAAATATGTCTTCAACATCAATGACGTAAGTTTTTGGGCTTAATTTCTACACAGCAAATGTTTATTAGTGGTATTTTTGACGGAATCCTCTGAATGCTTTAAATCATGCGTAGGTCAACAATAGTTTCGTTGTTAAATTTGATAATCAAAGGGCAAAATGCCAGGAAATTACTGTGTTTTGTACCGTGTGAAGATACTTTATCTTAATAATACCAGTTGTCTTCCCACAAGCTATTCATAGATTAGGACTGTATAAAACAGCCTTCAGCATAAACATTTTTACGTCTGTGCTACATGGAGTGTGGCGACTTGAACTACCGCACATCAGTGCAAAGTTCTATGTCGAAAACAGACAGACAGACATTTTTACGTCTCAGTATTTCACTACTAACCATTCACTGACGATAAGTGTTGAAAAAATTTACACGTTTCTGCCGGAAAATTTTTCTACCTCTATCTCTGGTTTCAAGTTGTCTTCCTATGTGTGAATTACTTTCACGAGTAGCGGTTTGTCTTTCGAAAACACCATCAGTTTCACATGAAATTATGGTGGTAACACCTAACGTCTAGTGTGAGTGATAAATAATACTGTTTAATATAAGAAAGTCAGTTATTCGCATCCAACGATTTCACGATAAACTCTTAGTCAAATCCAGTTGAAATAAATCTAAAATAAGTTAGAGTTGCTTTTATTTTACAGCAGGTCGAAGGTGACAACAGTTATTCAACGAAGACATTACTAATTTGTCTTGCTATATAGTGATCTGGCAGGAGTTAGAATTCATGGGCTGGCCATTGGATCGGGTCCCAGTGGCTCAATGGTCTATGAGGTCGCCTTGTAACCAGAAAGTCCTGGGTTCGAACCCCGGCGGGTGCGTACTGGTGAAGAGTCCCAAACTGGGGCAAAACCCTTATATATATTTATATATATTAGGGGTTGTATCGACTGTAATACTTATGCAACCCAAGTTTTATGTTATTCAGTATATCGTCAAAATAGTTTGTTTTTCGTTAACATAGGAAAAGAAAAAACCCTGAAAAATTGATATTTTCACTGTACGTATAGTTGTTTTATATTTCACTGGATTTTGCTGAAAAATTGCTTAGCAACACTCATGTACTGTCTACTGTGTATTTAAATTTGAAGTTGTAATATTTACGGAAATGAAATCCTTAAATTCATTCATTCCGTGATGCTTTTGCCAAAATTATGAATTATTAGTTACACTAATCATTCCAGCCTTGTTTATTTAGTACTGGCTTCACCTGAAAGTACTAGAAAGAAATAATGCACTTGATTATTTTTATCAACGAACAAGGAAAAAAAATAAATTTGGAAAGTATAACCCCTTTTGTAAGGGCTGAATGTTGTATTGGTAAGGGAGTTAACTAAAAGCAAAGGCGTAAACCCAGCAAACATTCATTTAATATGAAGAATATTAAAACTGTTATTCTTATTCTGATTGATTGCTTTCCCTTCTATATTGTTCTCTTTCGTAGTCGGCGTATTCTGCATTCAATTTGGAGTACTTAATTTATTGTCTACCTTTCACTTCAATTAATTGATCTACTATTACTAAATAAGTTTTATAGTGATTTGTTCTATATTACAGCTTATAATTGGACAGTAGAGTGTATTGACTAATTTATTTTCAGATCAAACTCAAATGTGCCATCAGTCCATGAAGTTTTTGACAGTTGTTTTGAGCCACTTAGGGAGGTATAAACTGTCTAGTTGGAGTCCTCAGGGTGCTAAGAACCAGTGGCCATAGACTATTGGTGAAATCGTTTTCAGTGATGCAGACGTATTCGCTATTTGTGTTCTCACATATCCCTTAAATTCTTAAGTTTTTCCATGTTACTATTCTTCCTTTCTCCCTCACATTGCTGCTATTTGTAGTTTCTTTTGAATCTCTTCTCTGTTTTCTTTACCTGGAGGGTGGTGACTTGAACTGTTGTCCTTCTGTTCAAAGTTCCATGCTGGAACTCAGTTCATTTATTTCAGTCCTCTAAGTTTGATGGTTTATAGAAGTGAGGCATAGATGTCGAATTCTAAATTCGTCAATGGTTATACTTTAGTGTATACTCATTAACTTATCATCATTCACTCTGACTAGCATTCAAATACACTGGCAGTAAATAAAGTATGTAGTGCTCGTCTATGACAGAAGCAGAATTATATTCATCAAATTACTTTTTGAGACTATACACTTTAAAGCTTTTAATTTTATCAGTTACTGGTTTAAGTGAATTGTATGTAAATGAATTTTCTTGACAGGTATTAAAAAATATTCTCTAGAGTTTATAAATGTTTGCTTTCAAAAAAAATTTCAAAAGCCATTGAATTGTATAATTTACCAAATTTTTATTTACATATTTTTAAAAAAATAATAAAAATTAAGATTCTCCAGTTTCACTACCTCTAATCCCTGCGACAATATGGACTCGTAAGGATATTGCTGAGTTCAAACGAGAGATTCTTGATGTACAAAAGGAATGTTGTATAAAGATAGGCTCTTTAGCTACAGCAACGGTAAGAACTCTGTAATTTATTTATATATTAATAATTTGATATTCAATGTGTTCCTTTTTTAAAAAAAAATAATATTTTAGCTCACCGGTTAATTGTTCATAAGTTTTCTCATCATCTGTTTGCAAATTACAGTTGCCCAGATAACGGAGTCTTTCTTCTGTAATCCCTGTTTACTGTATAGCATAGGTCAAATAAATTCTGTGATGATAAATCAGTCGCTTAAATTACATTTTGGACATGCAAGTAATGTTGTAACAACAGAAGACAAGGGCCAGGCAACAGATCCTTTATTTAGGAAATCAACACCTATTTATATATTTTCATGTACATTATTATAGATTATTGTAAGCAAACAAACACAGTCTTCTGATTGGTGGTTTCTCGTTGAACGTTAATCTTTCATCTCTTTGTGGCCGTTTATTGAAGTTCAGATTATCTATCTGCAAATTGTATCCGCCTACGCAAAGTCTGCTGTGGTTGGTTGTTGAATCAGTCTTTGTTCTTATTTTTCTCACGACCAATATTGGGGACGTAAATTACTGTCTACCAATATGGCTAGCAGCCAGCTCTCACCACAAAGTGTACAAGCTATTTCATATTCCCCGTTGACCGATTTACACTAAACCGAAATGTTCTTGTGTGTGTTAACTTGTTAGCACTTTTACGAACTCTTCAATGATGTATAACAGTTGAGGTGATGTTATCTGCTTAATAGTAGCTGGCACTGGAATTAAGAATGTGCATTTTCTCTTATTTGGCACTCGTCACCTGGATGTACATACATCCCCAGTAAGCGATAGTGTCACCACTGAGACTATAACTCAGACGCCACCTTTATAAATGCCAAAAGCGCTATCCAATTTTGATATTAAACATTTTTTTAACTTTTGCTGACGTATTACAGCTTTTGATAGGGAAAATCAAAGTGTTAGAACAAGACAAATAAGCGAACAATATTGTTTTCAATTAGATCTTCTTCAGGCTTTACTCTAATTTACATAGATTTATATGTAAAAATTTTAACCAATGACGGTGATTTTATGGATCAAATAATAATAATGATTATAATAATGTGGTAAATCTTTTGAATGTAGTTAATAACGATGATTATAAAGATAACAAAATATTCATTATAAGATTTATGCAAGTGGCGATAAGAATAACGAAGGTGATAATATGTGTATATGTAGACAATTCAGTAAATAAATTAGGTCAAATCTTAAAAGTTACGTAATACTAAAGGTGAAGTGGACAGATAATCAGAGTTTAAATAAATATCATAAAAATACGAAGGAAACGGAAAATAAGAAAAGGCGGGAGGGTTTTGAATCGAATTCACCTAGGCCAAGGGAGAGACAAAGGTAGAACAAACTTCTTTTGTATGCAAAGGCTAATGTGACTAATGTGCCTTCGATTTCTTACTTGACGTCTGTAAAAATTAGGTAAATTAATATTATGCAGTCCACTTGCTTATGAAAAAGAAAGAGGGAAGCAAAATTAAGTGATTAAAGATTTAATGGTCACTAAAGAGGCTAAACTTGTTAGGGGAATACTGCTTTGGTATAATTTTATTTGACATCAGATGTCCATCCTAATTTCTAGAGGACCTGATTGAATTATCTAGTGGGAAAGTAATCCATTAAAGTGTACTAGCCTAAACATTAAATAATGTTAGTAGTAATTTCAATTGTTATTTGTCAATCTGCATGTTAGGAAAAAAATACCAAATAATGTTTCCACAGTACCGCATATTATCTGATAATCTTTCCCATCAAAAATGTTTTATTGTCTAAATTCTACTAGATACTCATTGATGACACTATTTTTGTTTTAGGTACGCGTACCAACTCATCCCAATGGAAAGGCTATATGCTGGGAATTTGCCACGGATTATTATGATTTAGGTTTTGGCTTATATTTTGAATGGGATTTGGAACCGCCTGAAAATATATCAGTTAACATCTCTGAGTCAAGTGATGAAGAAGGCGGTGAAGAAGACGATGAGGATGGACCTAGTTATAATAATAATTCTGGAGAAAAGCCCTCACCTGAGAATGGAGATAAAGGTAGGAAATGAACATTAGAAATTTTAATGTTATCTAGGTTTGTCGAGTATATCTCTTTCTGAGTATTATACTCTCTTCTTACGTGTTTAAAATATGCTACTCAGTTAAGTTCTCTAAATGAATAGTTGCTCTTTTGTGATAGATGATCAAATTCATCTCTTTCTGCAAAAGTGATATCTACCTACCACTGACATTCCTTCAACGAGCAAGTTGTTACGGTTCCGAAAATATTCTATCATTTGTTCCTATACCGTTCAGTTCGGTCTATTGAACTTGTAGATGGTTGGGAAAAGAAAGCCTTTATCTCTTTGTACTGTTTGTGAAATAGTACTATGAAATATTTTATGCACTTCAAATTAACCAGGAGGTCTGATCTGAAATTTACACAGGAAAAACAAAAGAAAATATCAGTTTGGATTTCGTAATGATACGAAATTCAAAAATCAGGCTGCCTGTAATTCAAACATGATACGGAAAGCAAACATTGCGGACCTCCTACACCGTCGGCTCCTTGACGCCCACCAACTCGCCGATGTCTCTGAAGTCCCGCAAGAAGCTCCTTGTTTCCTTCGAAAGCAGCCAACCATGGAACCTTCATTGTCTGGAGGCAGTGACACCAAATATAACGGTAAAAGACAACAGACTTGGTAACGGGGTATTTATTTGAAATTCGGTATCACTATATAGCAAAATTATGTACGTCCTATCTGGAAATTGTCATGTGCACAAATCTTCCGTTTTGTACTACTTCTACCCTTTGTAATGTTTTTCTTTGTCGTCTTTACGTGTCTCTTATGTTTTGCGGAAACTCTTGTTCATTTGCTCTGTTTGACGTCAAATCTGTCTCTCCACTACTGACAAATCTTGTCAGTAGCACATGCCATACTATCACATGTAACCGAGACAGTTCTTCGAAAACATGCACCATAGCAGTTGTTGTTTCATACAGTTCAAACACATCAACAGAAGCAGCATGAGAGCACTCCTTAGAACACCAATAACACTAAACAGCAATCCCTTTCCAGTGGAAAACAACTTTCTTGGAGAATTCACGATCTGTTTACAAACTAAAATGCTCAGACTGTGATATAACTGACGTGGAGTAAATATCTTGGCAAATCGAGGCCAGAAGAATCAAAAATCGTAGGGCTTCTATTCATCACCAAGAAATCAAACGTAACTTGAAAGGCTTGAAAAATTTGCTATCATAAGTTTACACCCCGTAGTATCAGGCTTCAAGATTGATTTTGATAATGTAGAAATTATTCAGGAAAGTTGTAAAAGACTCATGAAGAAAATCTCATAGCAGACACATTTCATATAAATTCGAATCCAAGTTAAGTGAAAATGAATGGAGGGTTGTTATTATTAGTATTGTTGTTCCTCTGGACTCCTAGTGTAAGGTAACGTTTTCTGCAGCTCTCTTTAGCTGGCCCCATAATTGCCCATAGTCTCTCATCTCTTCACACCATTTCCTCCATATCACCCTCGGAAAGACGCCCAACTCGTCATTTCCAATCGGGTTCCACTCGAGAGCCTGGAGCGCGATGTCATTAGACAGTCTTCTCAGCTTGTGTCTGATCCATCACCACTTTCGTCTACAAATTTGTTAAGCAATAGGTTCTTGGTTGGTTCGTTCTCTGTTGCTTATCCTTTCTGCCATCGGATCTTCAGTATCGAGCCAGCGAAGACAGCCGTTTATGGAAGTCTGCAGCAGGCTGTTGGAAATGCTTTTCGTGATGCGTTCGTCAATTTTCTGACCCATATAGAAGAAGTGACTTAACATTGGTGTTTAAAATCCACATTCGGTTCTTTATGCTTTGTACAGAAAATTTCCAAACTAATTTCAGAGTGATGAGAGTCTGTCTTGCCTTTCCGACTTTGGTTTTGACATTGACAGTAGTTGAAATGATGCTTCCTAGATAAGTGAAGGAAGTGACCTCCTTCCTTATTAATTCCGTTGATAGTGATTGGTGCGCCTCACTTCTACAGCCTAACATGGTCAACATAAATGCAATAAGCGTTTTTATTGCATAAATATACGGTCTCTTTATAATTCATACACTGGACAAATTCAGCTATCTGCACATGTCTTTTACCAATTCATTTATTTCACAACTTAGAGTTAATTCATACAGAAAAACTGATTGGGTTAACGTATAAAAGCTCATATTTTATAAATTCTTTACTAATGCTATTATCGTTAAATGACATAGTGTTAGTAGAGACAACATCGTTTTGCTTCTTGTCTATTGGAAGATACGAAGTGCCAATCATATGCTCAGTGCTCGAATTATTTCAAACGATTAAATTCGATCTCGCTTTGTACATCCGATTTAAGCTCTATTCATTGTCTCATGACGTCATAGGCAAATAAATATTATTGTTTTTCATCTTTTTTTATTTATTTATTCACCTTTTTCTTTAAATATCAGTTTAAGTAATTATGATGTCTAAGATATTGTGCTTTCCAATTCTTTATGCTTAGAATCTCCTCATGATTTGGAATTGGGCAAAAGGTCATCACAACCTCGAGTTCCTACTGACGAACTTATACCAATTTACAGAAGAGACTGCCATACTGAAGTCTACTGTGGTACACATCAATATCCAGGTGTTGGTGTATACGTATTTAAGTTTGATAATTCTTTCTCACTTTGGCGATCTAAATGGTTATATTATCGTATATTCTACACACATTGAACTGCATCGTGTGGTTGCTCATGCAATCTCATATATATATTTTAGCCATTTTGTTGACATTCCTTGCATTCATCATTGTCATTTCGTGGAGTCAATCGTTTTTTCCCCACTAAATTTCCATATTCATTTACTTTTGCATCCTGCTGTTTTAGCTTGAAGTAATATCTGATATCAGTGATTATTTATGCATTAATTTGGCATTTATAATATTTTATAATCAGGCACTACTAATACTACTACAATTTCGCATAATCAACATCCAAGCATCTAACTTCTGCTTTTTGGTGTTCCTCGCTTTGGTTTTGGTTTAGTCTATATTTTTAATTATAACTAACTTATTTGTTGTTTAAAGGGATTGATTAAAGTGTCTCTTTTTTTAAAAAAAAAAAAACAATCTTGTCTTAGTGACTTCATTCTTTGCCTGTGTAAATGAAAGTGTATGTATTTGAAAGAATATTTTACACACTCTATTATATCAAAATATACTGGTTACACTTTATGCATGCGCACAGTGTATGTTGCATTTATCAATACTTCTTTTATATGTTTAAATTGGTTTTATTTTGATTATCTGAAAAGGAATAAAATAATGCCATTCGGAAGCTACACAAAACTGGTGTTCTCGTAAATGGAAGGTAAAGATGCTACTCTATATAGTTTGTTCAGACTCAATAGCTGGACTGGATATTTAGTATTTTGAAGAAATGGAAAAGATTATAGCGTTCTGTTGTACAACACATAGCATTTCATCTAACATGGTTTTGCCTAAATAAATGCAGTCCCTGCTTTTAACTGTACACTGAGATAATTCACTTAGAAATACGTATCTGAAGAAGAAGTAATACGATTTAGAATTCTGTGGTGTGGGGGAATAACGAATAAACTGAAGGTATGCTTCTTAACAACAGTAGATATTCTTTTAGTAATGCAATATAAGGTGTTCGTTTACTAGCTAACAGTTAGTAAGATACTGTGGTGGCTATAACTGATTATTACATTAATCATTTTGTTTACCGAAATCAAAGTAGTTACCGGTGTACTTAAACATTAGTCTATCCTCACCTCTATTTGTTTTATGCAGAACTTCATATTTTGGAATCAGTCCAAGATTGCTGTCAGTATTAGTTTGTAGAATTAAATGTTCCAAATTATTTAACGAAAGTATACATTGCAAATTTGCTAAGAGAAAACCGTTTACTATAGATGAAGATGTGACCCCTACTTTATTTTTTTGACCTTAGTTTAATTGTTAAGGCAGATAGGTATTCAATAAGTGTATGTGTTTTATTAAAAAAATGTTAACTTCCATATCTGAATTCGTGACAAATCACCAATTGTATGTAGGTTTACGGGCGAAGAGTTGATTATTTAACAGACAATGCAGTAGTTTCAATCTATAGTATGATGCATTATATAATTTGAAATCGTACACTATACAATATCATTTTACATTGAAATGATTTCAGAAACTAAAATAGTATGAATTAAATAAAACTCTCCACCTTTCGCAAGCAACTGCGTGAATAAAAAAAGAACGCCGGTGAAAAATCTGTAGAGCAAAACATTGCTTACAGATACCAAACTGGTTCTGAGTGATTTTGTCAGATTGAACCATTTTAAACAGCAATATTTATAAAATTATATTTGTGAAATCTCAGCGAAATTGAAATGAATAATAATAGAATTTAGGCCAATATTCGATAAGCTTATTAACCACTTTCAAAAGACAGATTACTAAGTCCTAAAGTAACTCACAGCAACTATGAAGTGGGGCATGCCATCACCTACTCAGACACAAAGTGAAGACTTGAAGGAAGTATAAAGGGGGTTGCTAATTTTCCAAGGCCTTTCCTTTTTTTACAGACTTCTGAAGCAAGTGACTGATCGAATTCCACTCATGTCGTAAAAAACGGTGTTTATTTCAACTCGAAATGTATAATTGAGAATATGAAGCCCATACATTCATCTAAACCCTTAGAACATGTAAAAAATGAAGTCACATCCCACTGTATATACCAATATGAATGTATGTGTGATCACAAACATAGGGAGGACTCATTGGTCTCTGCAAGTATGGACTTCAGAGTATATCCCTAAATGGCTCCAGAAGCAAACTGAATCTCCAGAACCCATCAGTGGTGAGAGCAGACGACGTAGCTCCTCTATTGCGAAACATATTATAGAGACAGGACATGAAATTGGTGTTGACACGTCTTTTAAACCTATCTACAAAACGTGTTTGGGGCAGTTTGTGGAAGCCATAGCAATTTGAGAGTTTAAACCACCTTTATGCGTTCATCACACTAAACCTTCCTTGGTAAACTTTGTTTCGATAGCAGGGCAGATGTACTATTACCTCCCTTTTTTGGTTAAGTGATCATTGTTATTTTGACCTTCAATCTGTCTTTTTAACTTGACCTAAGTCTATTTTCTAACCCCTTGACTTTAATATATATATATATATATTCCTATGACAAGTCCGTGTGTGGTCAGATTGTTCGAAATGTGTTGCGCAAATACATTACACTATTCAGATAAATTAAGTCTTCTTATTGCTTCGTCTAAATTCATAAAGGGAACTAATCGTTTCAAAAAACTATATACCATGCGTTCCAACTTGATTTTAAAAGTAGGCTCAATCCTACTATTATTTAAAAGTATCTCAACAGCCGATTGTGACATGCACATCGCATTATTGTGGATGTAGCGGCGCTACATACTCTACTTTATCCACTTTTTCCCTTCAAGTTCCAATGTCTACATATGAATATTATATTTCTTTACTAAAAGAGTACGAATCAAATTTCTCGAAACGACAGAAACTATAGTAAACCAAAAATATGTTTCTATGGTTTTTTCTCACTAGTGAACACCTACAATTTGACTTGCGTTAATCATCGTTAAACTCCTCTTCAGCCCCGTGAAACACAATGATTTCCACTATATTAATGACAACCTAGTGCAAAATAGAGATTTTATTCAATACTGTAATAAATAACTCCCCACTAATGTACATAGGCATAAATGAATGGAACAACAGTGAATCAATTTTTCAGTGAACATATGCAACCCACCGCTTAATCATTAAAAGTCTGTTAGAAGGCCATATTGATTTGCTGCTATATGCAATGATTTATTTGAATATGTACAACGGTTTGTAGCAATATATATACAAGATTTTCAGTAAAATGAATTATTCATGTTCGTCTTCAGTCTCGCCAGGACACTGATTTAGGAGTTCGGATTGATTTTCGTACTGCAAGCTGCACCAAAAACAATAGTTATGTTGACCTCGCAGATAACTCAAAAGTTGCAGGAAGTTTCGTTGAATCTACAAAATTGGAATAACATATAAAATTCGACCAAAAGGTGTGAAAAAAGTGTATGACGGAACTATCTATAATCAGTTCTTGCCAACCCTATAAAGAACCATGTTCCGTAACAGCTGAGGTCGTAAAAACCATTTTCTCAAGTAAAAACATGTTAACTTCAAGTGCCAAGAACGACTACCATAGCCTGCTAATCTGTTAAATTTAGATTACAATTTTTGTAGGAACTTGAACTAATTCCAATGTAGATTTCGTTACAAATCAATATCATTTAAAGATCACCGAAAAATATGGGGCAGTGGAAAGTTACTCTGTCCTAGTTTGGGACTTTTCGCAAATGCGTACCAATCAGGGATCAAACCTGAAAACCTTCTTGTCTCGAGACCAAGTTTGCTCACGATTCAGCCACTTGGGCCGGAAATCCGTAAATTCCAACTTCGTCAATTCGTGATATAGTACCAGCCTCAACCCATTCCTCCGATGATCATCCACTTCACCTTGACATACTGGCCACGACTTCTCAGTACAGCTTCAAGACATGCGTCTAGTAAACATCAGTGAGCCGGAAGTCGTAAATCAGATTATGTGTTTTCGTACACTAGTAAAATATGATGTGCAAACCTGTATATGATGACTGAAAAAGACACTGAAAGCATGTGAGTGTTTTGTTTTTATTGGTCATAGATAAAACGAAAGTGAAGTACTTACTAATGCATAGTCACACTTTGCATGCGTTGGGTCAAGCTTAGCTAAATCATTATCTTGAAGGTCTTCACCAATGTCATCCTCTTCAAGATTTAAATTAGGTGTAGGAAGCAAGTCTTTTGAAGATATATGGTTGTGTGTACTATTCCCCATTCTGCGTTTGGTACAGTCAGTGACTTCTTCTGCAACAGGGTCAGGAGGTGGCCAAAACGACTCATCAACTGGAGTTGTAATAGACTCCTTCAAGTCTAAATCCCGACATATTCGACGAGCGGCATGAAATTGGCGGTTTAGACGATTCTGTCGAAATCTAACGGCCATAATATCGCGAAATTCATTTTTGCATGCAATCTGCATTTGTTGTCTCAGAGTCTCCCTATACAGCAAACGCTCATTTTTTTCAGTAGCAAAGCCAAGACCCTCACGACCCTGAGGAATTTCAATAGGAACAGGATCAGCTCTACCAGTGGCTGAAAAAGAGAAAGAGGTGACATTAAAAGATAATCTTATTTGTCAAAGGAACGATATTGATATCTTAAGTATATTGACCTAAAGTCTGATATATACAAGTGGCATATATATATATATATATATATATATATATATCAGAGCAATAAATCAAACATTTACATATAAATGAACGCGTGCATTGCTAAGATATACATACCATTTTTACCCAAGCCTTTTCCCGGAACGTAGCCCATTTTTGAAAGCAAATTAAATCCTTTATTTTCTGGTCCAACTTGTTTTTTCAGACCTTCTTTGAGATGGTGGAGTTCTCTTTCTGACTTTGAAAGACATTTATTTTTACGTCGATTTTCTTCTACTAAACGCTGCCTCTGTGTATCCCGTGATACGATTAGTCCAGGTTTTACATCTTCTCTACATATTTAATAACAAAATATGAAAGCTTACATTTCTTTCAGGATGGCATCAGACATATAGTCGACTTCATCATCCGAATTGTTACAAACAGCACCGCCTGAATATCGTACATCATTACTCATGCTTGTATTGTAAAACATAATATCAAGAATATGACCAGGGGAAGGAAAGAAAATACAAAGGAGAAAAATTAGGTAGCAGAATAGAATAGCTGTGAAGTTAATGCAGAACGACAGGGTAAGATTTCATTTTTCAGAATGAAAAGTATGCATTTTTGAAAATAAGTATATTCAGAGACCTCACAATTACCATGTTAAGAAGGGTTTGAGAAATACGAAGCTTATATATATATATATATATATATATATATATATATATATGAAAATTAATGCCTTTCTGTCAAGTGTAAACCTTGTATGAGTTTATACAGTACCACAAGTACACAGACTTTTTAAACTGAAATCAAATACTGAATAAAAATCTAAATGTATTGAGAGAAAATGTTACTACATAAAGTAATTGTCAGTGATAAGTGCATGCACTTATACATAAGTAGTTAACCGCATGTATAAGGTTAAAATTAAAGTTCAAGTGATGTCAGATGGCGAGGAACATATATTAGGATGCACATATAGCAAGCAATCAGATGTTGCGTTTGACTAATTTGTTAGAGGTAAACTTTTGTAACAGATCTACAGTAGCAACAGAACAGCCGTTAACACACAGATGTCGGTAAGTTGTTTGATCCTAGTCCATCAGTATTCACAAGGGAGCACCATAAACTGAACTTCACGGATAGATGTCTTATCAAGATAGAACCAAGTAGATACATTTTGTAAAAGCATGAAATTAGAGAGGGAAGAAGCATGACGAAATTAAGATAGATCGAGTGTGGAAGGGAAATGACTGAATGGATACTTTCCGAAAGTCAATGACAAGAAGAACTGAATGCGTCTACGACACACAAATTTGAGTCATGTCACCCAAATTATCCAAAAACAGATTTGCAGCAATCCTAGGGTATAAGCGATGCAAGCTGTGCCCCTAGACGCCTCAAACTAACGGTTAAAGACTTAATTGATCGGTGCTATTTTGGTCTGACTACACCTAGTTCTTTGTCAACTTAGTCATGTTTTTGCAGAGACTGTTTATCAAGGGAAGGAGTGGCTGATTATGTCTTAACCATTTCAATCAATGCAGCTCTACAAAATCAGTTGATTGTTTTCTTCAGATACCACTATGAGCCGTATTCTACTATTTCAGAACATATTGTTATAATTGAAAAGTGAGATGCTTTTCATACATCTATTCTACATTCAAGGCATGACAGCGTATTGCAACGCTACTCAATGATATTGACACGTACCTGGATTCAATAATAACAATAACAGTAGCATTGTATCACATTGTTAAACATTAAACTCGTGGATAATTAGATTTCAACCTAGTGACCGTATGACGAGTTAACCGCATAATTAACGATTTTAAGTGAACTGCAAAAGTCAGAAATCAAGACTAATGCATCACTTTTGCAACAGTCCCGGTACATCCCCACGAATATTTGAAATGCTTATATTTGAACTCCTGTGAAAGCTAGGAGTCAGCTGCGATATGCTTGACAAGCTTATTAGATAACACACCATGATAACTAGATTACGTCTCGAGTATAATTTATTGCTAATTGTTTTATCGATTTATTTGCACGGCTTCATTGTTTGACTGGTAAGTTTTTTTCAATTCTCTTTGCTATCCATTGCACCATTCTATATACCCGGTATAGGCATTGCGTCAGTCCGACTGCACGTGTTTGCTGTTGATTCGATGAACACAGATTCAGTGATTAACACCTCCATCGACCTAACTATACTATTTTTGAATACCTTTACCCTATCCTATTTTATTGTGTCATTTACCGCAAGCGAACACATTGCAATGGTTGATTTTTTTTTCGGGTTATCTGACTTAACAGGGTCAATCATCCTACCTCTAGCTAAATTCTCAAGTTCTGATAATATAATTAACACCGATCTACTAGTCTTAACTGTGCAATTCGTCTCACAGTCATAACAAGGTAATTGGTAAAATATATTATTTTTCCACATTGCATGCATCGGGTCTTTCAGATTTAATTAGTTTAAAAGCAACCCCAATTCCACACTCATTATATATTGAGATCCAGTTTGTGCGTTTAACCATACAATGTCAGAATTCACTCATTACCAGGAGTCAAAATTATTTCAGAATTAGCGAGATTTATTTCAGCATTGTTATAAGCTTGGGAATTCCCAACGACGACCATCTCTACAAGAAATTCCCAAGTTGTTCACACAGCATGATACTTAGTTATCTGAACAAATTTATGTCCAAAAATACGCTTGGACTATCACTGAAGCCTCCAGAAAGAAACTCTGGGACACAGACGAAAAATGGAACTTGTGTAACTACCCCTTCACACTTACTTTCACTTCTCCGGAAGTTTCTTAAGTTGCGCGCATTACGGACTCATCCGATGAACTGGTCAAGGCCATTATGTCATCGTATTTGGTAGTTTCGTTTAGGGTCGGAATCCTCCAGTGACAGAATAGCTTGTTATTTCGTCAGCTCGCCAGTGAGATACACGACAGACAGGGTTGCTTTTGATAGGTCTATATATATATATATATATATACTTATATCTATAGGATAGAGGCACAAATGGCTTTTTGGAGAGGCTGAGCACTTGAAGGTCACATATAAACATTGTGATTGGTTAATTCAACCGTGCGTAGACGTAACGGCAATACGGAGTTGGCGTTATCTGCTGTTAAAAGCCTGAAAGTGCTGTTGTTAGTGATGTCTGACGATATACGCAGATTATTCAACGAGATTTTAAAGAGCAAAAGTTTCAACTCCTGGGACTCATTTGAGGATGCTTTTAAAGAGTCTAACAAAGTTGCACAAACTCGTTATGTTGTCAGAAGTAGTCCGGTTGACAGAAATAATCCGATTTTGAGGTACGAACGGGTGGATTATGTGTGTACATTTGGTCAGAAAAGAAAAAGCCGATCAGAAGGAGTCAGACCTGGAACACCGTAAGTGTATATTTTTTTTCTTAATCCTTTTTTATCAGTATTAAGTGCATGGGTTGTACTTCAAGTTTTAGCGTGAACAGTTTTAACGGATGTCTGGTTATTGGTGATATGAGTGGTGAACATTATCATCCGTGTACAGAAGAGTTTATGATGGTTGACAATAGCAGACGTAAACTCACGGGAATGCAGAGGGTCATAGTGGATACTATGGTAGAATGTATGATTTCAAGTTCTGAATTGAAAAATGCAGTTTTCTTGAAATTCGGGAAATATGTTACCCAAAAAGGTGCCTTTAAGTTTAAAGAGCAAATGTTTGCAGGTATACATATATGCTTTATCTTAATTAAGGTATGAACCGTATGGATTCTGTTCTGCAATTATTAAGGTCGACAGGAGAGGTCAGGACTATGAGTTCAAATGGACAGCTTGATGTAATATGTTTCAGTCTGCACCAACAAATAAAGCTTTATGAGTCTTTCCCAGAGGTAAATGTATTGACTCTACGTATAAAACGAATAATGTTGGGTAAGTTAGTGATAATAGTGTTATTTTTGCAGATTCAGTCTTTTTCAATTAGTTGTAACGGACGAATGTGGAAAGGATGCTACTGTAATGTTTGCTTTCTGTCGGCGAGAAACTGTGTCAGATACCACACATGTTCTGAGAATGTTACAGTCCATTATGGGATTTACAGACGGTACAAAAACATTTGTTATGGATAACTGCCAAGCAGAAATTTCTTCTGTGAAGGATGTTTTCCCGCGCTGCCGAATTATTCTGTGTTCATTTCATTTGCTTAGAGCCTTCGGTCGGAAGGTACTTGCGTGTTAGTGATTACCAATGTGGTTTTTTAGTTCCCTAATCCAGACCTACGTTATGCACTTGGAAAACTGGTTACAACTCGTATTAGACCAAAGCAAGTTCTGCATAAAGCAGAAAAATGGTAAATACGTAGGTTCTCATATTTCTACTGTTACATACGTCATACGTTCCCCCAGGCGTACAATTTTTTAAATGGACATTGGATAAACAACAGGCACATGTGGGCGTGATGCTTTTCCAGAAAAGCACTTAATTTAGGTAACCACACAAACAACAGGGTGGAAATTGCTTACAGGCACTTGAAGCTGCAACTCCGACGAAATGATCCCTTAGTGTTGACTTTATGGAAGGTTCATAATACGGCCCTGAAATATTGGAGACTGCGGTCATACGATACTGTGTTTGAATTGCAGAAATTTCGTCAGTTCAACGTAAGTGTAACTTTACTCTTATACTATTGTATAGGTTCCTGATCCGATTCAAAGGCAATTGGACAAATTGACACCGTATGCAGCTGCGACTGTCAACAGGAGTTACGAACGTATCCGCAAACTCCGTCATGAATTAGTGGGCAGTGACATAATTGATTGTTTCGATGGAATACATGACCACTTGGTTGATACCTCCGCTGGAGTGTGTACCTGTCACCACTTCCATGACCACGGTCTCCCTTGTTCACATGTCCTGTGCGCCTACTATAAGGGATTGTTCACTGGAGGTAACGTGATTTTGTGTGTTACAAATGTATACGCTTTCATATATATTGCAATACAGCCGCAGATGGTGCAGAGAATACAACCTAAATATTTCCATTAGGACAATGCAGCGAGTTAATATTACAGAGTGTGATGTAGACGAATACGCACAACGGGTGTGGCAGTGTCTTCACCTTTTAAAGAAAATTAATGCAGATATTGCGCTTGATGTTATCAAGAGACATTAAAGTGAATATGAAAACATTCTCAGCGGTCTACACACGTCAATTTAACTGTTGGATTGTTAATAATTTCTGTCGTGTAAACATGGACGTTAACGTATTTCGCTTGCATTGATTGATATCACCAATTACATCCTCAAGTCTCATTGAAAAATCTAGCCTCCATCTCATGATGATGACGAATTTATTTTCAGTCATGTTGAATAAAAAAGGTACAGTAAGCACAATGTGGCATTACGAACTTTTAAAGGTGGATGATAAATCCATACAGCATTTGACATTTTATGTTACT